ATATCATAGTTTTAAATTTCTTTAGGCAACACAAAAAGTCAGTAACTTTTACCCGTTTATGTTATAAAATAAAGTGAAGGCATATCTGCAGTGACTCATTACAAAAGAAATAGCATTCTAGAAAGCAGATGTGGTGAAGTTTTTCATTCTCGGTATTTCAGAGTTAAAGTAATCAAAAATTTTTGCATGTAAAAATTGAAAGAATGCATATTTTTCAGTTTTGGTAAAACCCAGCCTTTTGACATCATAAGTGACTCATATGTCAATCAGGCCAACAGTTACATATTTCGACCTTCATTTCACTCCAGAGCCCATGAAAAGCAAACATTTCTAAGTATGCGTGTGTTTTGTGGGTGTTTCTGTTTATGTTTCTTTTTCTGAATATTTGTATATGAAGTGGAAATATTGATTTCCATTTGGCCTTAATGTGAGGCTAAAATCAGAGCTAAGCTTTGCATTATACAAGGAAATAATATAAAAATGTCTGATTTTTACTAGCCAGCCAAAACATGCATGTAGGTGATTTATTCTGGAAACATGCCTAATATATGCAAAGAAATGCTGTCTTTTTATGTGTATCTTTTTCTAAAGGTATCTCACTAACAACAGACTTTTCTTTAACCTAATGGAATATAGAAAGGATATTACAAAATATGTTTTAATCATCAGCTTATACAAGCAAGAACAATGATCATTACAACTGTGGTTGCTGCTACTTACATGTTGCCTTAAGTGTTCTTTACTGCTGCCTTTCTAATATCATAATTCTTCATTTGGTTGGATTTGTTCTTACCATAACATCAATAAACTAGTTTAGGCCCCATACTACAATAGGTATGTTCTCTCAATAGAAATATTAAAAAGCAGTGAACTTGAAGTATATGGGGAGTTGTGTAATGCGTCTGATATTTAACAGGCATTTGAAATTACAAGTTGTAATGATAAGAAAAGCTTAGTTATAGCCAAGCAGTCACTAAGTCTCTTTCCTCAAAGGACACGAACTTTGGGGTTAATATACATTTACAACATAGCCATGATCTAGGGCTCAGAGAAACAGATCTTTTTTTCAACAAATCTTTTTCACATACGAAGTTTGTGAAAGTGTCCTATCTTAAAATGGATAAAAATCATGCACTGTTTAGAAACCACAGGGAATGTTGGAACGAACTGTCAGACTCATAATTATGTCATGGGATACGTAGTTGTTTAAGCCGACTCAAAGTGTTCTTTAATTAAAAGGATTTTTTTCTTTTCTAAGTACCCTTAGGAAAAACACAGATGTTGTGAAACTGTTTTGATTAAAAAAAAAAAGTCAATTTCCTTATTAGCTGATTTTTGTTCATTTGTTTTTGATTTTTTTTTAGGAAAGAATATGGTTGTGCCTTAAATTTAGTTTTGTATCTCTTTAAGGTTGAATAGATGGTGCTTTTATGCACAACGAAGGATATTATTCCCTCTATGATAACATATAAACAACAAGTTCAAAATAAGCAACTAGTTCACCCTCTCTGTGTTCCAGTTCTAATTTTTTTTCCACTCATCAAGCCTAATTTGTTCATTTCTCAGAAAAAAAAATCTACGGTCAGCCTGTAAAGCAGAAAAAAAAGGTTCATTGCAGAAATTATTTAAGTGCCTAGACAATGGTACTATTTTTCTGCTCCCAGTTTTCTGAGGCATTCACATTAGAAGGAAAGATATGCCTTAAGTCCTGTGGCAAACATGCACCTTTCTAGAATGACAGATGGAGGTTAGGCTATGTACCCAAATGTTTCAAAAATGGCACTAATTATGTTTGTTGATCAATCAAATCTCTATTTGTATAACAGAAGCAGAAAGATGTGAATATCCAGTTCAGATGATGTCACCAGCATTACTCCAAATTATTTTGAACACATATTTTGAACATAAGTTCAACCTTGAAAAGCAAGAAAGAGTTAAGTATACTCAATTTACATGAAACACTTTTGGGACTCATTCATATATCTACTTCAGTAATTTTGAGGCAACTTACTTAAAGATATTTGTTTTTGGTTAATGGGCCTTAACTGAGACTATCCACATTTTTTCATTTACGAACAGTGTCTATTATCCTTCATAAAACAATCAGAATATAACAAAACTTAATTTCAATTATTTGCCTGTCTGTCAATTATTTTTCTTTTCATGTTACAGTAAGGCAGGATAGTGTCCTCAGTTGAAGGATAAATTATTTTATTTATCTGAGATATACTACAACTAGATGAAGTACCTATACTTTTACATAAAATACAGCTTTGGGGCAAGTTCAAGCACTGGGCCACGGATATCCACACCGATGTGTATGCTATGGTAGTCATACCATACATAACATTGGTATGTAATCTGGTAAAATTTTGGCCTTAGGCACCTTTGACATCTCTGAAGTAGTGACTGGCCTCTGGTCAAAAGGTAGCATGAAGCATAAAACATAAGCAAAGGAAAGTATCTATAAGATTGCACAAGAACAAGTTCATCCAGCTGTAGTCCTCAAACACCACCCTAGAAGGCTTTGAACCCCCAAATACCCCCTTCATGCCCTCATGCAATACCTGTTCTAGGCTCTGTAACTTCTTCTCTGGGTAGCTCTAGCACTGTTATCACATTACAACAAGTGCTCTGAATATTAAATAAATAATTATAATGATGCCATACAGAGACAGAAATAGTCTACTTTATACTACTAAATCCAGCCTGGCTTGGCACTGAGATCATGTAATTCATGTTCTTTATCTTCTTGATCCCCATCACAGTTTTGGCTAATGATAACTCTACACTCCTACTCAATAAACAACCACAAATTAGTAATGACATGTTCCTGGAACTGGACTAGTCTGAATTGCCAGGATGAAGAAGGCCATTTTTTGTTTGTTTGTTTGTTTTATTTTGAAGAAACTAAGTGAGAAGTTAAATTATATTTAGATGAGTTATCCTATGAACCTTTCCTCAGTGCAAATGAATGGCTCCTCCAGTCCATTTTGCTTTCTAAAATATGCATACTTCACATATATAGACAAGAGACTTTGCAAGTCAGAGGAGGATCAGAACTAAAGATTATGCAATGTGGATCCATCAGGTCTCACTGCATGGCCTCAGAGGTTGTCTGTATTTACTTGACCATACTGATATTGCTTAAGGCATTATCTATGGGGAAGGTCTTCAAAGACAGGCATACATTCAATGGGTTGTTGCTTTCCCACTGATCCTACACAGCTGAGATCATATGAATATGAGACTTGAAGCCTATTTTTAATCAATCTTCCTCACACTTGGCTCTGGAATAGCTTTGTGAGCAAAATGTGCAGGGAAAAAAAAAAGAAAGAAAGAGGAATACAGTATTAAATTAAAAGGTCAGCTATAGAGCTTTTATCTACAAGCACATGAAACTAAGTAATTGTATATGATGTCCATTGAAATCTCATCTTCTTATTTTTATTACACCATAGAAGGTTAGAATTGGGAAACAGTAAGACAGCAGGACTTGGAAAAAAGGGAAAAAGGACAGGCCTCCTGGGAGAAATACAGGAACATAGTCAGGGAATGCAGAGATGCAACAAGGAAAGCTAAGGCATGTTTGGAATGCAATCTGGCAAAGGGATGTTAAAAATAACAAGAAAAACTTCTTCAAATATATGAACAGCAAAAGGAAGATCAGGGAAAACTTGGGTCCACTGGTGAACGGGATGGGCACCCTGGTTACGAATAACACAGAAAAAGCAGAGATGCTGAATGCCTTCTTTGCTTCGGTGTTTACCAAGGACAGCCCTTTAGAGTCCCAGGCCCTAGGGACAAGAGAAGAAGCCTGGAGAGAGGAAGACTCACCCTGGGTAGAGGAAGATTGGGTTAGAGAGCACCTAAGGAAACTCGATACCCACAAATCCATGGGCCCTGATGGGATGCACCCCACAGTTCTGTGTGAGCTGGCAGAGGTCATAGCTAAGCCGCTTTGCATCATCTTTGAAAGATCCTGGAGAATGGGGGAGTGCTGGAGGACTGGAAGAAGGCCAATGTCATGCCAGTCTTTAAAAAAGGCAAGAAGGAGGACCCAGGCAACTACAGGCCAACGAGCCTCACCTCTGTCCCTGGAATAGTGATGGAACGGCTCATATTGGCCGTTGTCTCTAGGCACATGGAGGACAAGAAGGTGCTCAAGAGTAGACAGCGTGCATTCACCATTCTATGATGGAATGACTAGCTGGATAGATGACGGGAGAGCAGTGGATGTCATCTATCTCAACCTCACCAAGGCTTTTGACACTGTCCTCACAACATCCTCCTGGGCAAGCTCTGGAAGTGTGGGATAGATGAGTGCACAGTGAGGTGGATTAGGAATTGTCTATATGGCAGAGCTCAGAGGGTGGTGATCAGCAGTGAAGAGTCTAGTTGGAGGCCTGTAGTTAGTGGTGTCCCCCAGGGGTCTGTCCTTGGTCCAGTCCTGTTCAATTTACTCATCAATGACCTGGATGAAGGCACAGAGTGCTCCCTCAGCAAGTTTGCTGATGATACCAAACTGGGAGGAGTAGCTGATACCCCAGAGGGCTGTGCTGCCGTCCAGAGGGACCTGGACAGACTGGACAACTGGGCGGTGAAAAACCTCGGGAGGTTATCCTGCCCCCTGTACTCAGCCCTGGTGAGGCCGCATCTGGAGTATTGTGTCCAGTACTGGGCTCCACAGTACAAGAGGGATGTGGAGCTACTAGAGAGAGTCCAGCTCAGGGCTACGAGGATGATCAGAGGTGTGGACCATTTGGCCTACGAGGAAAGACTGAAAGAGCTGGGCTTGTTCAGCCTGGAGAAGAGACAACTGAGAGGAGCCCTCCTCAAGGGATCAAATACCTCAAGGGAGGCAGTGAGGAGGATGGGGCTAGCCTCTTTTCAGTGGTGGCCACTGATACAACTAGAGGAAACAGCCAGAAACTAAAGCATCAAAAATTCCACAGGAACTTAAGGAAAAATATATTGACAGTGAGGGTGACAGAGCACTGGAACAGGCTGCCCAGAGAGGTTGTGGAGTCTCCTTCTCTGGAGATCTTCCAAACCCGCTTGTACGCAGTCCTGTGCCATGTGCTCAAGGTGACCCTGAGTGTGCAGGGGGGTTGGACTAGATGACCTCTAGAGGTCCCTTCCAACCTTAAGCATTCTATGATTCTATGACTTAAGACTCAAAGAAAAAATATTTTCACTTCTAGGTCAGCGCTTAAAATGCATCTGAGATCTTCCAGCCAAATGTGATAGGGTCAAATCAGCACTCATTTATGCCTAGTCAATCACATCTAATTCATCCCTAAAAATGAATTCAAGATCACTGTTCTAAAGATAAACCATCTTGATAATGGTTTATCTTATCTTGATAAACTCATCTTGACAAGTTAATACACGATTAGTTGGTCAGTGGCCTTTGTAACATGCATTGATGTGCCTCAGTGCAATTCTCAGTGGAGGAGTGGCTGAACTATCAAAAAAAAAACCAAAACAATTTAAGAGTTCATGCTGATGCCATGTACTTTGAAGGTGACCTCTGTTTCCCATGTAAGAAATGGTCTGTCAGAAAATAAGTGAAATATATTGGTGAAAAATATTAGCCTACCTTTGTTCTTTCACTTTTGTCCTATTCTGTAGAGAATTTACCTATTCCTCTTCTAGGATTGTACATGTCCTTTTAAAATTTCTCTCCCAAGGTGGTGTTCTTTGCTATTTCTATTACAGTCACAATGGGCAAATACCCCAAATCAGTAATGGTTAAGTCGATAATTCAGTCTTGCCGATCAGGTTTACTCAACTACACAAAAATGAATAGTTTTAATTGTTGATTCTCACCCAATAATATTTTTCCTTCATTGACAGACAAAAAAAAATTTTCTGTGTCACCTGAAGTCCCTGATTTAGTAAATACAGGTTATTCTTCTCATTTCTAGATTTTTTTTTGTTTCTTTTTTGAGACTGTTTTAGCATCTGTTCACTGTTCTCAGTTAAATTTAAAAAGTAATTATGCATCATTCCAAAAGATTCACAAATATGCAGTTATTAATCCTTAACATAGCTTCCCACTGTGTCTTTTATTCTATCTTTTCAATAAACACTATTCCTGAATTCGAACAGATTGTTTTGAAAGATGGAATCTAAATCTATCACATCTTAAAACATCAAATAGTTTTCTTCAGAATTTGTTTATTAGTCTAGTCTTCCCAAAATTAAGAACATTAATATCAGTTTATTATTATTATTATTATATCACCTTGGAAAAAAAAAATCTTCTGTAGAGTTCTTTATGCTCTAAGTGCATATAAAATATTTTTTGCCCAGATGCCCCCCTACTACATACATTCCTCATGTAATCATACACATAGCTTTAAAAGAATGAGTAATCCATATACAGAATTATTTGTTTGCATGTGGAAGCTTGATAAAATATGATCACAGGTCCCAGATTATCCATATTATCTATTGCTATATTCCTATATCATCCATAATAGTCTCAAGGATATTCTAATACCCTCCAATGGCAAGGATTTTGAACAACACATTCATAATCAGTGAAGCCATACTGATACATGCTTTAGCCTGTTCAGGTCACCTATTCTTCAGACAAATCCTATTGGGAAGCAGCTAGATCTCTTCTGTTACAAAGTAGGAGTATTAAAAAAGGAGAAAGTAGAGATCTGTGTGTTTTTAGTTGGTTTAGTTCCTTAGAGAAGCAGTCCAACAGGAATCATGTAATCACACAGAATGGTTGAGGTTGGAAGGGACCTTTAGAGATCATCTAGACAAACTTCTCTACTCAAGCAGAGTCACCTAGAGCATTTTGCACAGAAACAGGCACTCTTGTAGCTTTTTTTTTTCTTTTTTTTCTTTTTTTTTTTTTTTTGGTGAGGGGAGGTTTCATTTACTTGGAAAAAACTTTATCTGTCAAAGAGGAAAATAAAAGTCTGCTATGTACATAATCTATCAATATGATTTTAAGTAAAATGAATGAATCTTTACTGCTGTGCTGCATGGCATTTCTGACATCTAATATCTGCCTTGACAGTCAAAAATATTTTCCCTTAAGACAACACTGAGTTTTAATATGAGCATTTACTTTTCGTCTTTATTCCATGTACAGCTATCCTCAAACTGTATCCTTGCTGACCAAACATGTCTTTCTGGGCTTTGGCCTATAGTTTGAATGACTCATACAGATGAGGCTCAAGTGTAATATAGATGAGACTCACAGAGAGTGTGCAGATTCTTTTTTCTCTTCTTTTCTTTTCCTTTTCTCCTTCCCTTCCCTTCCCTTCCCTTCCCTTCCCTTCCCTTCCCTTCCCTTCCCTTCCCTTCCCTTCCCTTCCCTTCCCTTCCCTTCCCTTCCCTTCCCTTCCCTTCCCTTCCCTTCCCTTCCCTTCCCTTCCCTTCCCTTCCCTTCCCTTCCCTTCCCTTCCCTTCCCTTCCCTTCCCTTCCCTTCCCTTCCCTTCCCTTCCCTTCCCTTCCCTTCCCTTCCCTTCCCTTCCCTTCCCTTCCCTTCCCTTCCCTTTCTTTCCTTTCCTTTCCTTTCCTTTTGTGCAGATTCTTTTTTCCTTTCCTTTCCTTTCCTTTCCTTTCCTTTCCTTTCCTTTCCTTTCCTTTCCTTTCCTTTCCTTTCCTTTCCTTTCCTTTCCTTTCCTTTCCTTTCCTTTTTTTCCTCCTCTTTTCCCTTTTTTCTCCTTTTCCCTTTTTTCTCCTCTTTTCTCTTTTTTCTCCTCTTTTCCCTTTTTTCCCTCTCCTCTCCTCTCCTCTCCTCTCCTCTCCTCTCCTTTTTTTCTTTTTTTTTTTTTTAGCAGAGGAATTAGAAAAGTGATAGTGACAGTTAATTGATGAAGCACAGGTTATAGCTACAGATAAAATATGCTGGATAAATAAAGTGAATTCTGAGAAAAGTTCCCAAATCACAAGTGACAACTGCCTCTCTAGATCTCTAGATTCTCTCCAGAATGGGACATTTCACTCCAATATATCTAAAAGAGAAAAAGAAAAAGAAAAAAAAAGAAAGAAATGATATAAAAAGAAGGAAAAGTTAAAGAAATGGAAAAAGCTGAATATTTTTTAATACTAAAATACTGCTCTGTCTTGTAGCCATCACAAAAACTATAGGTAATGTGAGAAAAAGAGCTGATGAAAACTTGGAGGAAAGAGAAAGTCATAGTATTGACTGATCATACTATTGAAAATACACAGTATATGCTCTTTGAATATAAGAATAAGAAGTAAGATATCCTCATAATTTCTATAAAATTCTTGAAGAGAGGAGGGAAATGTACATTAAAGTAAGTTTGCAAAAATAGTATGATTGTCTAAAGAGAAAGCTCTGGTATATCTGAGAATCTGTGAGAAACAGGGAAATGAATTCTGCTACAAAACACAAATTAAAGTAGATCTAGATTAGTTTGGAGGTTCATCAGTTAACCGAAAGGAATACCAGCTGGATGAGATGAGCAAGAGGAAATTGAAAACTGTATTAACAGTAATAGAGTCATATTGAAAATCTGAATCTCATAAAAACATTAATGAAAAGTTGAAACACAAGCTGTTGACACAGTCTAGAGAACTCAAAGTATGTACAAACAAAAATATTACCAGCAAAATTTTATCTGAAAATGACCAGGCAGATTTCTGCAGGCAGTCTCACTACAGGGATAAGAACAATGTAATGATAAATAAATAATGATGATGAATAATGATAAATAAGACCTGCATTTTAGGAGGAAGTTCATTTCATTTCAGAAAAATATACCTCTGATTATCTGAATCATTCCCTAAATATTCATGTACAATACATGTACACATGCATTATCTGAATTATCTGAATCATTCCCTAAATATTCATGTACAATACATGTACACATGCATACATGAACACTCTTATGCATTTCTCTCTCTTATGCACTTACATGCACACACTTATGCATTTCTTATTCACTATAGAGGCTACACTACTTCATCCGTAGGTTTGTTCTTTGGATATTTCTAAAGTTTAGTGGAGACCCAGCCATACCTGCCTTGGAGCAAGCCTAAGAGAAAAAGATACTGTTATTGAACATAAGCCATCAGACAAAGAACACCAGCTATTGTATGGGGATATATGGATGAAAAAGTATACCTTTTTTTTTTTTTTGGGAATAAAAAACATTCAGAGAAAGTGACAAATTATAAATGGCTTGCAAAAGAAGAAATAAAAAAGAAGCTGAGCATTTGTTGCTGAAAGATATATTGTACTAGATATATTAAAGAAACTATAAGTGATAGAAGAGATACAAGCCTAGAATGAAGGATATGTGACTGGATCATGGATAAGTTTAGTTATAAGGATGTGCCAAATTGGCCCAAGACAACTTTCTACTCATTGCTTTATATATTATATTGCAACAAAGTTAGCAGTATTATTTAATAGGTGCTAAAAAAAAAAAAGACTACAGTCAGAGGGGACTCTGACTATTGAAGGAAAAGTTACAGACAATAGGAATATAAGGATACTATAGGATTTTTTTAAGCTATTATAAGAAATATAAACTAGGACAACTAAGTGTGATAACTTTAAGAAAGGAGTGTGTGATTGCGGACTTTTTGTGAGATTATGAGAAAGAAAACTAAAACGAAAGAAAAATCCCACTAAATATGAGCAATTATAGCAAAAGATGTAGGAAACTTGTGGTAAGAAATTGAAAATATTAAATAATTAATAACATTATATTAATAGATAATTATATTAAATATTATATTCATTGCAATGAAGAAAATCTTATGGTGGAGTTATCAAAAGACCATAATATATACATTATGCTATAGAGTTTAAGTCAGTAAGATAAAATAGTCCTTAGAAAGGAACATTGGCAAACACCTTCAAAAGAGCAAGTTAGAAACATGTCAGAATTACTGAAACCTTTGGCTTTGCTGATGGCATCCCTTATCCCGCCTCTTCTCTTTCTAATGTCTTAGGTACTGGCAAGAAAGGAGTGTAAATAGGAATTTTAGTAGTAGTAGTAGTAGTAATGATGAGAATCGTTATTATCATTCATTGAAGCAAACAAGAAACAGATTTTTCATAAGGGTCGGACTGCTGACAAGTCAAACCTATCTCCTGAAATACCAACAGGAGCTGCATCACCCTGCAAAACATTTCTTTCAGATTCTGTGTTCATGTATGGCAGTATTTCTGAAGAGGGGAGGAAAGTACCTTAAAACTTCTTTTATTGAATGGTAATGAGGGGTTTTCAGTGTTTGAATAATTAAATTGACAAATTTTAAGCTGTCAGTAAATTTCAGACTTTCTCATCATTTATCTTGCTTACTGGTGTTCTTTGTAAACAGAACTGATATGTAAAAATAGCACCAGCAGTAAAATCCTTGGTACTGAAATGCCTACTATTCCCCATGAGTGCCTTCAGAATGACAGCTTTCTTTGTAGTGAAGCTGTAATGACAGCTGTCATCAATGGACTTTCATGAAACATACTCTGACCTTTAGATGCTATACGTTACAATTACTGTTGTAAAGCCTTTGGGGCCTTGCATGGGGATTACACACTCCAGCAAATAGCAAATAGCAAATTGTTAACCCCTGTTGAAGTTGTTTAAAAACCAATGATCTTTGCTTTTCATTTTTTTTCTTTAAACATGGGGACTAGCACACAAAGATGCTCATATGCAAATGAGAGTAGACATGGGTTGAGAGATAACTGTTTCATGGACATGTTCTGAAAATAACATACCTTATTGTAAAAATGATATGTTAATTAAAAATGATACAGTCACATGAGTGTTTAAAAGTGAATTCTAAAAAGATAAAAAATATGACAGAAGAAAATTTACACTTAAGATCTAGATCCTTGATAGAGTCCTCCAGAGCTGACTTCTCTAAAAAACTGTGACAATTCTTTTTTTTTGGTGATATTCATGCCATTAGTTTAAGTAAACAAAACTCTGTAAATTATACAGTGCCTTTATAAATGCCATTGAATTTTATGGCAACCAAGAAAAATCCTACATTCTGCTGTTTAAGGAGTTCTGCAAATGTAGCAATTCAGCACACACTAAAATCTATGCTGAATCAGAACAAAGATGTGTTATGTTCAATCATACCCAAAACATAACAAAAGCATGGCTTATATATATGTGTGTATGTAAATATATATGACATATACTTTTAGTGTTTAATAGTATATTCAGTGTTTTGCCTACTAGGTAATCACTTTTAAATTTGCCAGTAGAAAGCACTATGAACAAATGTCTTCCTATATATTTGAAGTTTCCATTAAGTATCCCCAAAAGGGTAACTTTTAAAGAAAAATTTATTTGTATTTCTCCTTAATAAACTATTTTTATATCAAATATATTCACATTTTTCTTGATAATGGAGTATTAATTTTTAAGTTTATAACATATATGCCTTTGCTGAATTTATACACAAAAGATTTTCTCAGTATACATTTCCAGAAAAGAATGACCAGATGAATCCAAGTCCTATGAACAGTTTTATGTGACTGGTATCATATTTGCTCAAATTTCCCAGTTAAACTGGCTTAACAAATGTAGCTTCACCACCTGTAGCCTCTTTTTCTACACAGCTTCTTAGACTATTTATAAAGCAAGTAAGTAAAAGTTTTAATTATGTTTTCAAAAGAAGAGATTACAAAAGATAACACAAAACCTTGAAAAAACAGAGTAAAACTTTTAAGTTTTGCTTGAATAACTACTGTCTGTATTAGTAAAATCAAGCAGTTTATGGCATTTACAGTAACTCACTACTTTCAAGAGCATTTTTCAAAGGTATTAATATCAACTGTCTCTTTTAATGAGTTTTTCGAGAGATGCAATGTATCATGACATTTAAAAAGACATTTTATAGGGCAATTTCTAGGGGTCTGAAAATAATTATTTTTTAGATTAAGATATGTTCATAAATGAGCAAATCTCCTTTGGCTTGCTCACCTTAAAATGTCTGTAAGCTCAATTTCCAGAAACAGCTGGTGTTTCAGCTGATTAGCAGAAAAGAAGAAATAGAGCCAATTATAAATATGGTCAATTATTCTGAAAACAAAGAATTGCATCCTTCTCTTCTTTTATCTGCCTTGTATGGAATGAATAACATTTACTATGCAGACATTATAGACAAATATGAGGTATTGTGGTTTCATAATTATTTTAGTCTGCTTGATAATGATTCTGAACATTACCTTTCAAAAAAAAAGTTCATTTTTTAAATTCAAGAAAAATCCATGGAAATGATTATAAATAAATCAGATTATAGATCTGATTCTAAACAATTGTCTTACTATATTCACAGCAGATATAGAGCACAGAGACCATCATCTCATTATAAAACAGGAGAAGGGGAGACCCTTCAGAATGACTTTATATGTGAACATTTACTGAGATAAAACACAATTTGTCTTCCAGGGCAAGGCACAAGTCCTGTTAACACAATACTTGACATCAGCTGGATTTTGGATTAAGTATAGATTCAGACTACCAAAATGAAGCAAGAAATGGGAATTAGATGAAATTTAGGTAGACTAAATGCAAAAAAATGTAGTTTAAATCAACTTTGGTGACGGTCCTTCCTGATATACACATGCCTGACTGAGTGTTATATCTATACTGCCAAATAAAAGAAGATGAAGACCACAGACCCAAAACCCACAGGACTGACTGCATACACTGTTTAGGATTATCTCCCTCCATAAAAGCTGTTTTGGGGAGAAAGATGGTTATAACTGTCCATAGCTGTTAAAATTTTAAATTGGCTTGAATGTCAGCAGAAAATTGCTTTGTAAACTTCTAGTAGAAGGAGATATGCACTTGCACAAAGTGAAGCAAAGGTTTAAGAGAACAATATGATACAATAAAAGAGAAGTATAGGTTAAGGTATCAAGTAAACAGACCGCAATGAGCCATTCCCTCTTGGGTGTCCCCTTCTCTCCTTTTCCTCTCCCTTTCCTCAGCCTCCAAAATAATTTTTGCAGAGACAAAGACCTTCCCCGTCAATGGTCTCCAATGGCTGGAGTTCTGCTCTTGAGTTCTTGAGAACTAAAAAATCAAGCCCAGTTTCCTTACTTGCCCTGTAGGCTTTAAAGCAACTCGTTTGGCCTTTGATGCTAAAGGAGTCGCTTGGTGACAGTGCTATTGCCATATATTTTAATGGCAGGAAGTAGAGCTTTTTTGCACATAAATGCCATCCAAATGTGAGTTGCAAACTCAAGGCATACCTGTAGAATGGTATATGGATGCATATCACAAGTGCAGGTAAGACCAGAAAGAAACAGAAACTCCTTTTCTTCATGTCTAAATCACCATGACACTGAAATAAGTACAAGCATTTAAAATCTTTTCAAAGCACAGAAGTTAGCACCAAGCCAGGGAATGCAGTGGTCCAAATTAAAGGTCCTGCTCAGTTTTGTGGTAACTATGACACAAGGTTTTTTATACCCTGACCATAAATTTCATACACCTCCCCTTTAGAGACGTAAAGAGTTATTCTGGACTCTTCACAGAACACTGCAATCTTTTTAAGGTTGAGCATATACAATTGAATTTAACAAAAATACTATATACCTTATATTTATAGTTAAGAAGTGTGTATCCTTGAATGAAGCTGTGTTATTTGAGACAAGCAAGCGTCTTGTTGATAACCATGTATCCCTTTTTTGTTTCATTACCTGACTTGCCTGGTAAAAATGGGAGCTGCCAGGTTTCTGTTCTAGAAAATTAATGGTCATCTGAATTTTTTATTCAGACTGATGAGCCTAGAGAGACTCATTTCAAAAATGATGCAGCTGTTAAGTTTAAGAGAATTTTATAAATTGGAATCATTTGGATGTGCCTGATTTGAAAACATCTATGCAATATTCAAAAGTAGTCCCCAAAGAATTTTGCATACCAAATGTTATACAGCTATAATTTTGCATTCACTTCCCACTAACACATTTAATCTGTGGTAATTAATTGTCTACCTGTGAAAAATTACATCTGAATATTTACTTCAAAGTTTGGAAGCCAAGATACCCATAATTTGCTTTACAGAAAGAAGGTTTTCTCTCACTTGCACAGCAGTTTGTTATACAGAGTATTCTCAGAAATGAAAAAATGGGAATACCTTCTTAGCAGAAGGATATATTTTAAAATTATCTTACCAGATATATTTGACAGCTTTACCACAAGAGCAGTGGTTAACATATCAATCTAGCAATGATATTCCATAGGGAAATCATGGACATTCTAGAGCATACCGTTTATCTTTATAATCAACAGAGTATTGAGCATTTTTTAAAATTTATATTTGACTATACAGAATTTATCAGGATTTATCAGGAGTTTATCAGGATCATATTGCTTGCAATAGAACTTTTAATATTCACAAAACTTAAAACATTAAGAAGGAGAAAAATGTAAGTGTTAAGTTACAGTATCATTAACTTTACAGTGATATTAACTTACAGTATCCATTTAGTCAAAATATCATATATATAATGAGTCACATTCAAAGCAGCACTACTGCCTTTATCTCGATAATATTGGATTTTCTGGGGTTTGCTCTGTTTTAATACTTCTGGTGTTGGAGTAGGAGGCTGAGAAAAGGATCTCTGGTCCCTTGATTATCAACAAGAAAATATTATCCAAAACATCATATGCACTGCAATTACTGTTTTGATTCAGATTTGCAGCATGAGTTATAATTTTACTAAAATTTCCCTTCAGCAATATAAGATCTTTTAATATAGAATAGCTATACAAGGTAAAAATAACTATGCAAATAATGTCATACCTTTCCTGTCTTTACTCCTTTATCCTATCCTATTTTTCAATTTTCTAGAGAATTGAATGTAACTATTGTTATGTCTTTTTTTTTTTCATTTTTTCAGAACTTTTCATGCTTGAGAATATAGAAGTTCGAAAGTATAACTAACAAGCAAAATTTTCTTCCAACAGCTTCAGTTGCTCTTTTATCATTCTTTTTGTGTATTTTTGGTAATATTGATCAACTCTTGGCATATTATTTGTACTTTAATTTTATAGGTATTTGGCAATAAAGAAGCATGAAAAAAAAAAGATGAGTTGTAAAAGAAGAAAATCAGTGTTAATCTGCATGATATTTCTAAAAGTCTTAAATTTAAGGTGGAGGAAAATAAAAAATCTTGTTTCCTAAAAGAACAAGCTCTGCCTTAATAAGTAGATGTCTGAGCAGATGCAACTAACTTGGTCATTTCACAAATGACAGGGATATTGAAGCCTGCCAAACTCTGCCAATCTTCAGCCACAGGTGGCCTCTAGGCTATTTTTTCACACTTTGCATGTTATGCATGTTATGCATCTTATTACTTCTACACTATTGCTATATTTTTTCAGAGTAGGATAGATTCTGTGTCCCCTGGGAACAAGGATGCCTCACCTTTGTTATAATATCATTTAACACGTTATATTGCTGCCTTTTTGTTCCATATGAAAAAAAAGCTTCCACTTTTTCAGCAAGTTAAATAAGTATTTTCTCTCTCTCTCTCTTTTTTTTTTTTTTAGAATTATTATTATTTTTTGTATTTCAGCCTTTCCTGCCACTTGAATTCATTGTTATGATAAAAGAGTGCCAGGAAGGCAAAAATGATGCCACTCAATAAAGTCCACACTCACCCACATTCTCCCCTCAACGTAGCTATTAATTGCACATTCCATAAGCACAATACTGGCAGAAGGTGACACAAAGACTTGCAAGTGATGTTCCCAAATAAACTAAGCTTCTTGAACCTCAGATTCTTTTCTAACAGTCATTTTTTTCTCCAACAGAGTTATATTATGATTCCATTACCATCCACCAGAAAAAGAAAAAAAAGAAAAAGATACTCAAGTAGAAAAATTATTTTGCACATCCTCTCAAAAAAGCATATGCAGCACTTTGAATAAGTTATACTATGCCTGTGTAAAGGCTTCAAGGAACAATTGATGGTGTGCATATTTTACAAGATCTCATTTCTTTATGGCATGAAATATATTTACCACATTTCTGAAATTAGCATGAAAGCTTTAAGTCCATCCGAGTATAACTTAAAGGAAGCACTCAGCAGTCTACAAGATTTTCGTTGCAGCAGTGAGGGATCTTGAGAAAATAGCTTTAAAATTTCAGTGGCAGGAATTGATATTATATGCTAGTAATTTGGAAATAATATAGAAAAACAGCAATTGCATTCTTTTATTTTAGTGTTTTCCTTCTTTTAAGATAAGTTCTAGACAATAGCAAGTTAATATTATTTCTCTGCTTCTGCAAAATAAGGGAAAACTGACTTGGCATGTGCTAAGGGATTCCTGAAATTGTTGTGACTGCAGTTAATAGAGAAGCAAATTCCTTTAACATCAGCATTTTTATATTGGTACTCCATAAATTAATTTTAGCAAATCTAATAGAACAGATTTGATTTTTTTAATTAGTTAGCTATGTTTATAAGCACTGCTATCAAGATATCCACCATCCATTCCTACTGAAAAAAAAAGAAAATTAGAGGCTCTGACTAATAATTTAAGATCATATTTCAGCTCCAAACACTGTCCCAGAAAACTCTATCTCTGCTCATTCTTAAAGACTTCTCATTTTCTTCTTAAATATTTGTAAAGATTCTGACATTTATATTTTATATAAAAACAAAGTGCATCACTTTTTGTGAGACCATGGAACTTGGTAAGAGCACTGAAATGATAAAACATACACCAGTTCATGCATGCAGCCAAGTACTCACTCTCATATAAAACATTATGGATCTGTACCAGAATATTAAATGATAAAGTCCTTGTATTATAATTTTGTATCATAACCTGCTACATGAGCGAAAATTACACTTTTAGTGTAAGGCAGTCCTATAAGTTTCTTTACCTGCCAAAGGATAGGGATTTCCAGAGAAGCATCCATGCCATCATAAAATCTCCTAAAAGATTTCCAGAGAAACATTTATCGCATCGTAAATGCTGGAGTTCACCAGTCCATGCAGCTTAAGACAGAGGGATTCCCCACTTGAACATGGTTCTTCCTCTTGCTTATGTCATCTGCAAGCCCTATGTAGGTGTTCAAAGGTATTTCAGAGGGCAGAAAGCATGTAGGTGGTTTAGGGTTATGATTCCTCCTCCCTAGTCTAAATAAGGTCCCTAGGCTATTGAAGCCTTAGGGGAACATAAATTGCCTTACAGAGATGTTTATCTTTCTGCCTTCACCCCATTGCCCATCCTTGGCTTTTGAGGCAACATGAATGACCATCTTAGATGAGATGCTTTATTTGAGTCATGAGCCAGTAAAGTGCCCTTGGGTCCAAGAAGGCCAATGGCATCCAGGGCTGCTTTAGGAAGAGTATTGCCAGCAGGTCAAGGAAGGTGATCAGTCTCGGTTCAGTCCTGGTGAGGTCATATTTGGAGTTCAGTTCTAGGCTCCCTAGTACAAGATGGACACAGAGCTACTGGAGAGTGACCAGCATTTGGCTACAAAGATGGTCTGGTCACTAGAGCATCTTATATGAGGCCTCTCCTCATATGAGGAGAGGCTGAGAGAGTTGGGACCTGGAGAAGAAAAGGCTGAGAAGGATCTTACCAATATGTATAAAGACCTTAAGATAGCAAGGAGATGGTACCAGACTCTTTAGGGGCGCCAGCAATAGACAAGAGGAAATGGCCACAACTGGAAGTTCCACCTGAATTTGACAAAAACCTCATTGACTATGAGGGTGACAGAGCAGGAACAGGTTGTCCAGAGATGACACGGTCTCCTTCTCTGGAGATACTCAAAACCCACATGGACTTGATCCTACGTAATGTGCACTAGATGACCCTGCTTGAGTAGAGCGATACGACCAGATGATCCAGAGTGTGATTCTGTGATTATATAATTTTTAGAAAATTAAATTTAGGAATTACACTCTGGAGGCTATATTTTGGGTGCTTGGAGGTTTTTGAGGTAAAGCAGAATCCTACATAGATAAGAAGAGATCAGTTCCAGAATTATATTTTGCAGATGGCACCAACTTATCCATGGCTAATGATTTTTGATGGCTTGTTGTTTTACTTTGAAGATAGCAGATGGGAGATAACATTGAAGTATTTGTCTTTTAAAAGTTTTCTCAGCAATGACATAGCATAATTTTCTTTGATCCTACTTAAACTCTCAATTTTCTAACATGTATTTACTATATCCGAATTGTCAGTCCTGTACATTGAAAAGAGTGCATTTATACTGCACTTTAGAAGTAATACCAGCACTTACAAAAATAACAAATATTTTTATAATTAATTAAAGAGGCCTTAACCTTATTTTTGGATTACACTGATTCTTTTTATTTTCTGACTTGCTTTAAATTTTCTAATCACATATGTATATTTTAACTTTTTAACTAGTTTGCTTATTTTTCGTATCTCATCATTTATTCTTTACATTTTGCTTTATTCTGGATCAATCATCAAACTGGAAAAAGAAAAGTAATTCTGAGTGTATAAATAGTTAGGATAAAATGGCAGAGTTTGTAAAGTGGCAAAGTTTGAACTAAACAATGCATTTTTCATCTCCAGTCTTCTACACAATATTCCAGGAAAAAGGCAGTTTTCACATAAAAAGTATTGACTCAGATAGGATTTTAAGTGATATAGGTGGACCAGCAGCACTATTATTTTTTCTCTCTGTCATTTTTTTTCAAGATTATAGCTGCTACTTCTGGCTATTCAAATGTGTGAGAAAATATTTTCTATTTTTATGAACTGGTTTTCCAGGAATAAAAGTATATTTTGGAAGCTATGAGGCTGCGAAAGAACAGTGAAACAAATTGTGTATAAACATGGAAAGCCTATGAAACCATTTACAAATGGAAATGACTATGAAAATATAAATTTCCATGCAATTTTATCCCGGATGAATAAATAGCTAATTTTTGTCTTAGTGCAAATTTGTTTTCAGCCTATCACTTTAAGAGTTGCAGCTAAAATGACAAGAAAAAAAATCATCTAAAGAACAACATAGGACAGCAAATTGGAGATATAAACACTTTCATAGTACTTGTGAGTGCCAGGCTTTAATCTGATCTGAAGGATGATGTCCTTGCAAAGTATTTGTTGCCAGTCACTTTGGAGGCACAAAAGACAGAACAGAACATGATTGAGGACTGTCAAACAGTGGAACAAAGGGATTTGCTTCAGGTAAACCTAAAGCAACCTAAGTAAACATTAATTTAGCTAGCAGAGGAATTGGAGCTTGAGAGAGAGGGTAAGAGAAGAATAACCTTTTTGTGTGGCTTGTTTGCTGTAAGTGCAGTTTGATCTCTAGTGGCTTGCCAACTAGGTCAACAGAAGTATTTGCAGTAATTGGCAGTGAGTTTCTGGAATTCAGTGTCAGAAAATACGGTATAACTCCTGAAGAGTACTTGTTCCTGAGGGAAAGCAACTTCAGAGAATGGATTTGAATAATTTTGCATTGCACAATGGGTCCGTGTGGCTACGTCGGTGGTTTCGGAGGTTTCTTTTACTATGTCTCTGCTGCTTACTGATTACTTCCATATCTTTCACTGAGGAACCATGGAATATAAATTATATTTTTATGTTATCTGCTACAAAGGATACAAAATTATCAAGTTCTGCATACTATAGAAATCATAAATTTTTATCCTATCCCTCTATGCTCATGGTATAGGGGTGATACCAATATCAGAAGAATAGCAGAAGAATAGCCAGGGCAGTGCAAGAGCAGACCCCATCCTGGGCAACTTTCCAACACAGTGTTAAAGGGAGGGAGAACATTTTGAACCCTGCAGGGTTCTACAGTGACTTTTGCCTTAGAAATTAGAACAATGCAAAAGAGGATGAAAAATCCAGAGGAGAAAAGAAATTTACAGGAATGCACGGGGCTAGCGTATGTCATTCTGGCTGCAGTGAGGTTGCCTCAAAGCTTCCATTATAAAGAAATCTGACCTTAACTGAGCCTTTGCATGCTAGCAAAGTTTCCAGTTAATTACCTCCACTGCTCTCCCCGATTGCATTTTTCTCTTCAGTATTTGAGTGTTTCTTCTTCTATACCTCCTGAAAAGAAACAAAGAACACCGAGATACAGGTTAAATAACTTTTTAAATTTTATGTCTCAGTTCATTCTTGGCCTTGATCCTCTGACCTTCCACACTAAATAAATATTAGTTTATTAAAAACAAAAATCATTGAGTCCAGTTCTGAGGAAAGCTTATTCTGGGAATTGGTTCTTAAAGGTCAGTAACAGGAAGTCTCTCCACTCTGAGCAGTCATTTGGTACAGATTTCTCTTATGGAGAAAAAGGATTTTGGTGGGTTGCAAGCATGAATAAGGGTAATCTACTCTAGGTGATCCTTCTTGACCCCAGGGGTTGCACTAGATGTAGATATGTCCTTCTGACCTCAACCATCACTCAAAGTGCTACACAGTGACAGTGCAGGCAGTTGACTTCAGAGAGGACTACTCAGGAAAGTTTGTATAAGCTGCTCTACGCTACTTGACCTGGAACACTTTTTAAGACAGGCTGCAAAATCATGGAAGTGTTGTGTGAATGAGACCTCCACAGGTCGCATAGTCCAACATTCATTTGAAGTGAGATTTTTGACAAAGCTGGATCAAGTGAGAAATGACTTTCTAGCTTAGTCCTGAGAAACCTCTAAAATGCAGATTTTATAGCCCCTTTGAATAACCTGCTTCAGTTCACCAGTGTTCCAAGGAAAAAAAAAAAAGGTATTTTCCTAATGTCCAATCAGAACTTTCCAACCTGTTATTTGTGGATACTGCCCTTGATGTATTATCTACCTCTACTGAGAACAAGATTGTTTTTTTTTTTTTTTTTTTTTTTTTCTGTCATGTTTGTAATTACCCTTCAAGTAATTTAAGACAACCATTAGATTACCTGGTAGCCTTCTTTTCACAAAATTAAGCCTAGCTCCTTCAACCTCTGTTCATAAGACATGGGCTAGGCCTCTGACCATCTCAGTTGCCCTCAATAGACTTTCTCCAGTTTCTCAATTCCTTCCTTAACTAGAGGTCCAAAACTGACCACAGTATTCCAAGTGCAGCCACATTAGCACTTCCCTCATTTTGATGGCATTGATGTTCCTGATGTATTCCAGTGTACCCAACTCACTGGTTGCACTGAGCCCACACCGTTGGCTCATATTCAGCTTGACAAACACTGCAACCTCAAGTTTTTTTCTGATGGGACTGCTACTCTACCAATAGCATCCCAGCCTGCATAGAATTATTCCATTCTAGATGCAGAACCTTGTGCTTCTTGCTGAGCTTTGTGAGATTTCAGTATTCATGTTTATTAAGGTCTCTTTGTTTTTAATATCCACTTTTCTTTGTATTAAGCGTATTTTCTGTCAGTGTGTTCTCCTCTCCATTGGATATTTTCCGTAACAGTTTGCTGTTTCCCTTTTCATTAAATATGTCCATGGAGATGTTGGACAATATCAGACTTACAACTCTGGAGTATTCTGCTTATCAGCCATCAAATGGATATCAAGTCAATTTTCAACCCATCTGAGAATCCACTGATTTATCTCGTAACTCCTCACCTTACAGATTAGAATCCTGTGTTAAAAATGGTGCTAAATTCAGGGGTTTTTATATCCACTGCTCTACCATCATCCACATGGCTAGATATTTAATTGGCAAAGGCTGGTCAAGTGTGATTTACATTGAAAAACTCAGTAATATGTGCTGAATGTTCTTGATTATCTTTTCATCCTTTTCATCCTGTGATAGAGAGTTTGCAATGCTAAGTTTTGGTTAATTTTACTGTCATAATTTTATAGATTTCTATTACAAATTCATTTGTCTTTATCTGCATTATCTCATGCATCCCAGGTACTCTTGAATTTTGGATGTATAGTCTTCTATTTGTCTTCTATTTTTTTTTTCTTATTAGCTTATCAGCAAATAAGTTTTATTTGCTAATCACATCTTGTAATAGACTCAGAAACCAGATGAAGCTGCAGATAATTGACTACATTGAAATGAGGCACATTATTATGAGCATATTGTGCTTTGGTTTAACTGGCAGCTTATTAGATTGCCATGTCAATTAATAGATAGGAGAGTTTGAATTTTATTTTATGCAAAATTCTTTTACTTGTCTGAAGTTCTCTTTGCATAACTTTGACAAATCTAAAATTGTTTTTGGTATAAAACTAAATTGCAGGACTCTACTGGAAAGCAATTGATGTGCTATTGATTTTTCATATTTTGTCCCTAATGCTTTAGAAATTAAGAATATCAACCTCTGCAAGCTCTTTATTATTAAAATATGCATTTTCCATTACAGGACTTGGATTTCTGTGGTTATTCTATCTGCCCAGTCCTGTGATGAACATTTCTTGCCTGATTGATTGACCCTGTTTGAGTATGGGAGTTGGACTACATGATCTCTAGAGGTCTCTTCCAACCTCAATCATTCTGTGATTCTGTGTATTCTGTGATTTAAATTGTTAATTATATAGACAACCTAATAGATAGCCTGTTCTTCAACTACAAGAAGAAGAACTAGTTCAAATCAATAACG